ATGTATGGTAGGGGTATGCTTTGTTATGAACTCACGATGCAATGATTGACTCACTCAGCCATGAGCTAACCCTCTTTTATTCTTCTTCTCTGCTTATGCTATGTGTAAGCAGATCATCAGCAGCAGCAGTAGATAAGTGTTAGGTGGGAGAGGAGCTAGAGTTGAAGCCAAGATGAGGTATGATATTCAATTATCCTGTGCTTGGACGACTACTTGGGATTTTGGCCAGTGATCCACACCTTTTTGTAAAAAAATGTTTTGAGAACGTTTTTCATGTGCATACTAGCTTCTGATGTAGTGTGAGATATCCACAGGTGTGGAAAGTTGATGATATGTGTATATGTTGTGTAACTGTGTAAGTTGTGACGACTATGGTATGTATAAGTATGGTATGCAGTTGTGGAGTATGAAAAGTGTGACTATGGCTAAGAAAAGCCAATGCATATGGTTGTGAGTATTTATGTTTGTGATGAATTATTTTGCAGGATAAGTTGCAAGAACTGTTAGCCCATTACGCGAGTAATTCATGTCGAAATTTTATTTGGATAAATTTTGATAATTAATGTAACACCCGAGATTAATTCCGCTGCAATTGTATGAACAATATGATTAGGCAAAACGTATAGGGTAGGGTGTTACAAAGAACATGGCTGGTGGGCATTCCCTGAGAAGTTGGAGGATGGTATCGGTTTGTCCCGAGCATCTAGCACAGTCCGGGCTATCCACCACTTTCCTGCTGTACTGCAAAGAGTTCGTCGCGAGCTTGTTCAGGAAAGCTTTCCAAATAAAGCGAAGAACTCTCTCCGTGGTGGGGAGTTTCCAAATGATCTTACAAATACTTTCCTCTTGGATCGCTTGGTGCTGCGATAAGAGGTGGAAAGTAGATTTGGTGGAGAATTTCCCGTCCGGCGAGGGCGACCAAAACAGCTGATCCTCCTCTTCAGTTTATTTATCAACAGCAACACTGAGGATCTTTTGGATCAAGTCGTCTGGGAGATGATTCTCAAAGAGCTCTTTCTTCGAGCATCCATCGTCCTGAACCATATCCACTGCCTTTGCTTCTTCGAGCTCAGAAGTAATTTTTCCTGTCATTTTTTATATTCCACGCACAACCTTTCCTAAGGAGGCTAGCCACTTTAGCAATGCTTTCATCGCCTAAGTCCAGATGCTATCTTTGTCATTAAGGAGCCTTCATCCACACTTAGCCAGCATAGCCAGGTTGGTTTGCCTAGTGGTTTGAATGCCCACTCCACCTTGTTTTTAAGACATGGTCATCTTCTCCCAAGCTACCAAGTGCATCCTCTTCTTCTCTTACTCATCTCCCCATATAAAGTCTCTATTGAGCTTATCGATTGACTTGCAGACTCCCATGGGAATGAGCTCTGTCTGCATGTTGTACACAGGCAAGGAGGTAGACACAAAATGAGTTAGAGTAACACGGCCAACAAAGGATAATCGCTTAGCTATCCATGGTGCCATCCTCTTCTGGATGTAGAGGAGGAGAGATTGGTATCTCAATTTGGTCACTCGCTCCTGAATCAGATTCTATCTATCTCAGGTTGCAGCAGAAATCAAGAAAAGATGATCAGGCTTCAATTGACTCAATGAATCATGCATCAATCAATTAAAATCAATCAGTATATCAATCCCAAGTCATTAAAATCAAGATTCCTAACACATGGAACTAGGGTTCTTCATACCCAAGTGAGAGAGGGTTCTACTCCATAGAGAGAGAGAGGAAAACAGAAATCAGAGCAGTCATACTCATTAAGATGGGGATAATCTGCTCTGGGATGTCGATCTTCACTCCTAGGGATGCAATCTGGGCTTCAATGGTGAGAAATCCACTCCAAAATCGGTCCTAGGGTTTGTTCTTTTCACTTTCTCTCTCTAAAGCTCTGTTTTTTGCTAAAAAAACTCGATTCCCTCTCCTTTGGCTCGAATCTGCCTCAAAACCCCGATTCTGGGCGAAATACGGGCTGAATTACGGTCGTAAACATGGTCTGCCCGTATTTCACCCAAAACGCGCGTTTCACTTAACACTGATGAGGGGAATTACGGTCGTCATTACCCAATTACTGCCAGTATTTGTGGAATTATGACCGTAATTCATTTTGCTCTTGCCCGTATTTTGATCTTCGACAGACATTCTCAGGGATTTTGGCTTGGCATTCGAATTACGGTCAAGACAGAGGCAATTACCCCCGTAATTGTGCAGGGGATGCCCGTATTTTGAACCTTGAATCGCCAACTGGCCTCCAAATGACCCGAAACTTGCGCTTATGCATCCCTTTACTCGCTAGGACATGAGATACGACAAAACAACACAACCTAGCGTAAAATAGGCCAAGGAACCACAAATTCAAGCTAAATTGGTCAGGAAACAAGAGTGCAAACATGTGCAGATACGATGCTATCAATGAGATAAGGGGATAAAGGGTCTCCCTATCGAACTCCATGTGAAGGAAAAAAAGGTTGAGAGAGCTCCCCATTCCAAAGAATCTGCATCCTGTTCTGCTTTACGCAGTACATTATGCATCTTATCCTGGAGCTCGGAAGGCTAACCTCTTTGAGAGTATCTCTCAAGAAGTCCCATCTCAATCTATCATACACCTTCTCCAAGTCGATCTTGAAAACCAAGTCTCATTTCTTTGCTCTTTTCTTCCTGAGAGAATGCATGACTTCCTGAATGACAAGAATATTGTCCGTTGTATATCTGCCAGAAATAAAGCTACTTTGCCGTGGAGACACCAGCTTCCTTATAACAGGTTTCAACCTACTCGTCATGGCTTTCGTAATTTCTTTTAGGGAGACATTGTTGAGGGAGATAAGCCGGAGATGAGTAACTTTCTCTGGAGACTCCGCCTTTGGGATAAGCACCAGGGTAGACTCTGTAGCTGAGGGTGGAAGCTCCCCGGTCGAGAAGAAGGCAAGCGCCAAGTCAGTCAGAGAATTACCAACCAATCGCCAAATATGTTGCTAGAAAGCCGCATGGTAGCCATCTAGACCAGGCACCTGGAAGGGCTTCATATCAAAAATGGCTTTGTGGATATCCAAGGTCGTTAACGGGCGAAGTAAAGCCAAAAACTCCTCCTGGTCCAACCTCAGAAATTGACCCGTCGGCAGTCTGTCTTCATATACATATCGATCATGAAGATAGAGGTTAGAGATAAAATAAAAAACTAACAAGGCGAGAGGTTGGGGTTCATTCACCCAGTTGTCATCCTCATCTTGTAGGGCTTCGATTTTCTTCCTGCTGGTCGAAATAAGTTGTATTTCGTTCTCCAAACTTCACCCACTTGTCTCTGGCATGTTGGAACCAGAAGATTTCCTCTTGCTCCAGAACTTGGTCTAGCTCAGCCTCAAGTTTGGAGTGAAGCTTGGCTAGTCCGGGAGAGAACTGAAGGGCAAGTCGATCCTCTACTCCCTTGATGCGCGCCAAGTATCTCCTCTTCTTGTATTGGATATTACCAAAAACATTTGAGTTCCACTCGTGGAGGGTACCCGCAAGGTTATTCAAAGCATTTGGAAGAAGAGCCTGGTTATCCCAGCTGTTAGAGATCAGCTCCTGAAGCCTGTTATCTGTGAACCAGGCTGCTTCGAAGCGGAACGACCAACTACTAGGAGGGGAGCCGCTTCAGGAGAAGACTGAGGTCAGGATGGGGTTGTGATCCGATTGTACACGAGGAAGGTGTAAAACTGAAGTATTCGGGAAGGTCGAGTTCCATGAAAGATTACACAAACTCCTGTTTAGCTGACTCGCCTTTGCGGTGAGGATTTCATCACCCTTCCCCAAGGAAACTTGGGTCCCAAAAACCCAAGGTTAACCAGTTCATCAGTATTGATACGCTCATTGAACAGCCGACACCTCCTCACCATATTGCTCGCATGTGGTCCCGACTTCTCCTCCAAATCCTGAATGGCGTTGAAGTCGCCCGTAAGCAGCCAAGGGATGGTTATTGGCTTGCTCTGGCTGATGAGGTTGTCCCATAGAACCCTGCTCGCTTTGACATAGGGAAAGCGTAGACAGCCGTAAGGACCCAAGGAGGACGGTTGGGGTGATCGATTCTGGGAGAAATATGCTAACTGCACGCCGAGATCAAGCATGGTGAGGAAACACTATCACTCCAAAAGATCCATATGCCCATTTTCTACATGTGGACTCTTTGGAACTCCCAGGCTGTCACAAACTGAGTTGGCCGCTGCGCCACTAATTTGAGGCTCAAGCAGGATAACGAAATATGGCCGGTGAGTCTGGATCACCAGTTTAAGATCACGAAGGAAAGCTCTTCCACCTACACCAACAACATTCCAAGCAAGAATTTTAAGATTAAAATTAAAATTAAAAGACATTGACAAAGACAAAGAAGAGAGGAGAGAAATGGGCGAAAGAGAGGAATCAATCAATTTGTCGGATGGAGGGCTTCTTCTTCCGGAGAGGTAGTCGTTCCTGACTCCTCCAGACAGGTTTCCACAAAAGAATCCCCTGGGTTCCCTGTCGAGAGGTGAGCAGCGCTCGTCTAGGCATCGATTTCCTAAAGGGTAAGGGATGCCATTCTAGCCTTTGCTTTTGGTTTTCGATCTTTCTTGGGAGTCCAAACTTGAAGAGCTTTTGATGAGACGAGCATGCCCGGAGATCTTAGGGGAACTGCTTTCTTGTTTTGAATCTTTTTGGTTCGAGTTCTAGCCGACGACGAGCTTTGGAGAGAAACAGAACACTGGTAGAGATCGATGATCTGCATCTTCGTTTCATTAGGGCCGATGACCGTTTGGGTTGAGGGAGGAGGCGGAAGATTAATGGGTTGAGAAAGTGACTCAGAATGTTTGGTTGGTAAGGCCGGTCCGAGTGAGCTAGTCGGGCTGCAACTTTGGAGAATGGGCTGGAAGGTTGAGGTGGAGGGCTGATTGGAATCCATACTTAGTTTCGGCCTGTTCACTGGCGAGGGAGTGAGATTGGGACCCGTGCCCAGCAATCCTTTTTCCCTGGCAGTACCCTCGGTCTAGGCTTTGGTTTCCCCTTCATCACCTATTTTTTCCCATTGCTTGTATTCCTTTCTTGGATCAATAGCTTCGACATCGGGGTAGAGGATGCGAAGATTCCTCTTTCCCTAAATGGGGAGGTTCCACTCCCATTAGTCACTTTGTTTACCGAATTGCTCTGATTCCCCGAAGCAAAAATGCTCGAATCCCCCTCTATCTTTCCCTTTCTGTCACCATCCCTTTGAGTCCGCCTGCTCTTCCATGGGACCAGTAGCAATGGTTCGAAGCCCGGATTCGGCTCCTCCGTCGATCCCCCCGCCACTGCTACCGGGATTGCGATGTCGGAGGTGGTGAGCGTTGCTGGCGGTAGTTATGGAAATTTTTCCGGGCACTTCTCCTCCACATGCCCAATTCTTTCACATTCGAAGCAGATCGCCGGAAGCTTCTCGTATTCGACCTTTTTCCAAGCATCGTCCAACCAGATCCGAGGTACAAGGTGTTTGCCCAACACCTCTATGGCCAATCTGGCAAATTTCGCACGTTGCTGATTCAGAGTGTGGTAGTCGAGCTTAATGGTCCTTCCAATAAGGTTTCCTAATGTTGTGAGCACCTCCTTGTGATAAAAATGTATCTCCAAAGCCGGGAGCTGCACCCAAACGATCATATTCTTCGGCAGGGGATCAGAGACTTTGAACTTAGGCGACCATTGCTGAACCACTAGAGAATTATCAAAAATCATCCAAGGGTCGTCTGTAAAAGCTCGAAAGTAGTCTTGTTCATTGCTGAGTTTGACTAGCACACAGTCGTGATCAAGATCTTTAACTTCCATTGAGCCAGCAGGTTTCCATAAGCCCTGCACACGAGCGCACAGAGTTGAGAATCTGAGTTTGAGACCAAGCAGACGAACCACCAACGCGCGTTGCCACGGAGCACAGATCCTGGTTTTGAAATCAGCTGACACCATAAGTGCTGGTTCATCGTTCCTTTCCCCTGGGATGAGATCAGTATCCCCCACCAGTGTCCACTGGCTCCCTCCATTGGTCACCGGCGGAGTGGGGTTCCATCCCGCCACCGCTTTGGCATAGGAGAACTTTTGTTTGTGTCGTCATTGGTGGTGGGGGTTGTTGTGTCGTTATCTTGGGATCGATCATCATCGCCACCGAGTTAGGTTCGATAAGCGCCTTTGAGGCGGTGTCATTTAACGCTGGAGAAGTGTTTGGCATCCGGCTGAGGGGGAGGAACGTCGTCGTCGGAACAAAGTTATCGCAGTTCACCCTATTTAAAGCTACGGTATACAATTTCCAATCCTATCATATTTTGGTTCATTAATTTTTAAAATTAAAATTATATAAATAAAAATTATCAATTCTAAGGTTACTTTCATATATATAATGAGTACTTCTTTATCGATTGTTTGACGATTTGTCCACTGTCGTCCCTTTCTTTTATATGTATTATTGTGGTTGTCTAAAAAGGCTTCCAATTCGTATCTAGCTGGTCCCTTTTGGGAATATCTTTGACAATATATATAGGTGGCTACTTCGGTGCATCCACAAAAAATGAGTGCATAAAATTCACCCAACTCTAAAAGTAACCTTAAGACATCGAATTATGAATTATAATTGGTAACATTAGTATGATATGATGATATGACATATGATCACAACTAATCAATCCATTGCCCTAACCCCTAAGCCTTCAATTTTGAAACAAACCCAAAATCCCAAATTAGAAACCCTAATCCTAACCCAAAATCCCTAAACCCTTAATCCTTCAAATTGAAGTAAATCTTTAATGAGTTTTTTGAAAATTCATGTGTTTCTTGTTCATCATATCACAAGAGACAATCGATATCGTTTTGACATGAATCACATGCTCAGAATGGCAATTATGAGTCCATTGAATGCAAAAAAAAAAAAGTAAGTGCACCCAAGACAATATATAATGATTACTTCTTTTGGATAGTAATATCGGTAGAGCTTAACTTTTTAGTTATGAAATCAAAATATGCCACGCAAAATTAAAATGTGTTGTTAATTTATTCATATTATTCTAATTTATATTGAATTTAATATGACAAATGTTGTGTGTATAATTAGTTTTTTCAAATATTTGTTTATTAGCATTTTTCGTATTTTACGGTAACCGGATTTCGGCCCCGAAAACTAAATCCTGACTCAGATTCTAACATTACTCATCTTCTGATAGACGAGATGGACATATAGAAATTTGGAAAAAATAAAGCAAACCCTTTTCAAGGAAGAAGGATAGGTCCAAATCATAAAGAAGAAAAAGAAAAGAAGGATCGCTCTGATATGTACAAGTGGGTTCAATCCATGGATGAACAGTTCTTGAAAGAACTTGTCTACTCGTCACAGACATCAAAAGCAATACTCGACATGGCAGAATCTTACTCTAATAACAGAAAGAAAGAAAGCATACAGTACTGCTCTGTAATTACCAGGTGTGAGAACAGGTTTCCTGACACGCCAAAACACAACACCAATCTGCGACCAAGTGTAATCGCAGACCGGGAATGCAGTAAAGTGACAAGTAATATTATCAACCCGGGGTCTAGGTCTACTGCTTACTCAGTGATTCTCTATTATCTAGCCAACTAAAGTAAGTGATTGTTGTTTAAAAGCAAAAGCAGAAAGAAAGCAAGAATTGATACGGTTTTCTCAAGCAGGTAAGAGTCACTCGGGAATGAGTACTCCTAGCTCCTTAGTTAGGTTTCAATTGTATTTCCCTGGGTTGATTTACTGTTGATTAGACTGCGGAAGATCCGACAGTAGCTTGGAATCTCTTAAGCTGACCAAGCCCTCTCAGTCTATCTACCCGGCAGACGACTAGTCTTCACCGGGATAGAAAGCTGAAGCAGTAAGAACAGAACTCCACTACTGGAATTAGATTCCAGTACAAAGCAGTACACTGGCTAACTCTCGTATAGCCAATCTCTTACTATCGAATGATGAGACTCTAGCAACCTAATCAGATTCTATCTATCTCAGATTGTAGCAGGAATCAGGAAAAGTTGATCAGACTTCAATTGACTCAATAAACATGCATCATTCGATTAAAATCAAACAGTAATATCATCCCAAGTCATTACAATCAATCCCTAACACATAGAACTAGGGTTCTTCATCCCCAAGTGAGAGAGGGGTTCTACTCCATAGAGAGAGAGAGAGGAAAACAAGATACAAAGCAGTCATACTCATAATTATGGGAAGAATCTGCTCTGGGATGATGATTTCCACTCCTATGACGATCTCCAGGCTTGATTTGATGAAACCCAGCTCCAAGATAGCTTCTAGGATGTGTTCTTCGTCCTTTCTCTCTCTAGGGCTCTGTTTTTGCTCAAAAAGTCCGATTTCCTCTCTTGCTGCCCGAAATTGGGTTTAAACCAGGAATTCCCGACTCACACGGGCTGGGCCACACGACTGTGTGGCATACCCAGTTGCCCGTGTGAGTCAAAACGCTGCGTTCCAATTAGTTCGATCTTCAGGCTTCTCACACGGCCAGGGTCGCACGGCCGTGTGGGATTTCCATCTTCCCGTGTTTGCTCTCGGCGAAACTCGCACGGCCAAACCACTCCTTCACATGGCCGTGTGAAAATCAGGGCAAGCCGTGTTTGCTCTCGCACAATCTCACACGGCCAAAGTGGTCACTTGCACGGCCGTGTGGGTTGTGGGTGTGCCCGTGTGGCCTCCTTTGTGACTTGCCTCGCGCCCGATCTTCGTCCAATCGACCCCAAACTCGCTCCCAAGCCTCCATTCACGTACTAGGACCTGAAATATCACAAACAAGCACAACCTAGCGTGAAATCGGCCTAAAACACGAGAAATCACATCTCAAACGGTGTAAGAACAGGGGTAAAAACACGTGTAATTAACGGTCTATCAAACTCCCCCACACTTAACCATTTGCTTGTCCTCAAGCAAACCAAGTCAGACACAAGGTAAGCTTACATATTTCAATCAACCAACATTGGGGACAAGTCATAAAGGCACAGAACACGTGAATCGTACTGGTTTTCAAACATCAACACATAAGAAACTTCATTAGCAACCTAGACAACCACCACAAAGGACATTCGAGTGCAGCAAAATCGAGTAAAGGAAGAGTCTCCCTTCTGTTCACCAACCAACCTAGACTTGACTCAACCACGTACTCAAAATAGTCAACTCATGCATCCAACTCAAGACATCAGAATAGAGATCGAGCAATCTAGGTCCTCACCGGGGTACAAGAGTATATAGAATATGAAAATGAATCACTCACTCTCGACCAGTGGGGTCAGGACAATTTGATGCGAAAAATGTGCATGCTATTTCTCTCAATCCCTAACATCTCTTCACCATGATGGCAGCCTCTAAACGCTAGAGTTCACATATGGGGTGTCACCACTAACTAATCAGGAGGTCTTAGACACAGGTTCAAATGACTGGCTAGGGTCTTGGACATGGGGAAAAGGCCTTTTAGGTGGTGGAAGTATTCATAGCACAAGGTTCCACATTTCCAAACCCAAACAATCACAGTCAAACAAACCAGTATTTCCTTTCTGCTATCCTGCATTACTCAATATCTCAAGAGCACAAGAGCGAAGGAGGTATAAATGTTAGCATTTCAAAGCCAGACTGCTAAGAAACACTACTTACTGGGCATTATTCAGATTTTTGGTAGTGGCTCTCTTTTGCTTCCAATTTTTCTTTGTTTTTCTTTCATTTTTCTTTTCATTTCTTAAGAGAGCCACCACTTCTGCATATATTTCAAACACCTGCCCAGCCCATAGCAGAAACAGTAGAGAATATGTAAAACCCACTCTGTGGAACCTTCTAAAAGATGCAAACAGGGTGATTTTTTTCATTTCAGACCAAAAGAAAGGATAACACACGGCTCAAAAGGGCTGACTAGGGGATATGACACATCAGGACAGTCAAATTTGGTCGTGGGCTAATCCTATGTCCCCATCATCTTAGCTAGTGACAACGTGAATGCTACACATCATGGAAGAGGGATCTATCGCACAAGAAAGAAACGAGCAGGCTCAAATCTCACATAGCTACCTATATGCTCTATCTCACATTCTGATACCCTGAACTAGATGCATAAGAGACTGTCAAGAACAAGTAATCAATCCAAGTCACAGTTGGTAAGCAAACAGTTGAAAAACTGAACCCCTACACAACTCTACTGCACGTCTTAGTCCTCATCATATGTTGTCCTAGTCACAATCAAGCTGTCATGCATCAATCCGAAAACCATTCAATTCATCAATCAATACACAGTGCCAATATGATCAAACAGCAGTACTTGGAGCCCTCAAATCATAAGATTCGGACAGCGGACTAGGCTCCAAGCACCCAAATATATATTCCAACCGATACAAAGCACCCCCCCCCCCACACTTAAGCACGACATTGCCCTCAATGGAGTAGAGGGAGAGATAAGGGGAACGATGTTACCGGTTTGAAACTGCTGGGGGACTGGAAGAGGACCAGTCAACGAGAAACAAACGGGAAGATGGACAGTTCTGCACGAATCGAACACCAAGAACACACTAGCACACGGTGTGTTAGGGATAAGAGTTAGCCGAGACGGCTATAGCAAAAAACAATCCACAAAAGAAACAAACAAAAACAAAAACAAACGACACTAAGTTCAAGCTCCTCACACATGGAGCAAACACACAAGTCTAAAGCGAAAAACAAAACACACTGAGAGGGGCAACGAGTACAGCCTACTCGTCGCCAAGATCACCAAAGTCGATGTCGTTCATGAAGGTGTCACCACCATCAGCACCATCATCACCATCTGCTGGGGGAGGTGGAAGTGGAGAGTCCTCCCAGGGAGTCCTCCAAACGGGCTGCTCGCCCGGTTGTAGCCGGAGTAAATGCTGCTGGACCTCCTCCATGCGCCGTGAACGGCGCCTCTCTCGCTCGATGTGTGCGAGAGTCACTCCCTGCTGGGTCTGGATCTGGTCCAATCTCTCATCGTAAACAGCCATCCTCTGGTGGTACTCGGCCTGGTGAGCCGCGTACTGCTGCTGGAACTGCATCTGATGGTCGAGGATCTGCTGGTTCTGGAGACGCAGCTGCTCGAACTGGGAGGTGAAGTAATCCTGTCCCGGGAAACTGGAGCTGCCACCCCGGTACTCGAAGGTGGTGGGGCGGGCGGCAGCAGTGTCATCCACGTCCTCGGGCTGGACCTCCTCATCAGC